TAAATAAAATATTAACATATTATTACTTTAAAATATTATAAATTTTTTGAAAAATCTTAATACCCATATAATAGATCTAATTAGAATATTTTTGCTAACATTTTAGTGAAAGCAAACACATAAGAGATACATTTCATAGGAATTTTTTGAACAAAGTAATAAGCGTGGAGCACCAGGCCCTTGAAGCCCAGTGACATCAGTCACCGGTGCATTTTTTTTCTGGGTAAGATTTGAAATCCACTTTTTGCAAAATATGTTTAAAAAAAATAATAAGGATAAGATTTCAACTTTAAACCTAAAATAAATTTGAAATCCGCTCTTTGTAGAATATGTTTAAAAAAATAATAAAGATAAGATTTCAACTTTAAACCTAAAAGAAAAAAAAACTGCATCTTTCAAAGTGATTTGAAAACCGCTTAACCCCAAAACCAGGTGCCACTTCATAGGAATTTTGTCAGAAATTGCCTTGAAGAATCAATATATTGGTACGGTCAGAGATGTAGACGCGAAATCAAAATTCCAATGTCTTAAGTTCATACCACTAGTCCACAGCTTATTAAAGTCATGTCAGTACTGCATATTATCGAGAACCTCAATGGCGTGTCTTTTTCTTTTTTATTGTCTTTTTTTCATGGGGGTGTCTGGTACATCATGTGTGTCTGACATCTTTTAACTTAATACTTATATCAAATAAACAGTAAAATATAATTGAAAAGATCGCCTTGTCGCTGTGTATTTATCTTTATCAGATCGGATTTCAAATCACATTTCAAATTTCTTTAGTGGTAACGAGTGGTGCAAATTGCCTTACCTTGCAAACTTCTTCAAATTTGCCTGCCGCTCCACACTCAAGGACAATTATTACGTTCACGGTCAGTGACAGCTTTAACTTCAATTATATTTTAGCACGTGAATCGTGATGAATTCCAATACATATGTTTTCTTCTCTCCGCCCAAGGCAAAATTGCTTTCTTTGGTCCTTAGTTTTTAGCTCAAAATATAAGTTGGTCCTCAACCTTTGTTAGTTTTGCAGTTCCAACACTCTTCTGGTAGTCATTAAGACTGCAAAGACTGTAATTAGGGCTGTAAATGAATTACCCCACTCAAGTAAAATTTAAGTGAGAACCTGACTTGACCTGAGTTTAAGTTTAAGTTGAACACTCAATAAAAAAATCAAGTAGAATTAAATTCAAATTATAAATTAAACTCCACTCAACT